ATAAACAAATTCCGGAGATATACACACTTGGCTATCGAATCGCTTGTCTGGGTTTATTCTCAAAGTTAAGTCCTTCTTTTTATCACAGTAAATCTTCGTCACATTCTGTCATGCTAAAATTCTCGTTCACTTCACTTTTCAGCTCCTGCATGCAGGAGACGCTTGAATCATACTCGCATACTACTTATTTTCACTTACTTGAATCTCCTGTCGACATATTCTCCGCGAACATGCAGGTCCAAAGAAGGCATGACGTAAAGAGGAGACGAACTAGCCGCTATGTGCCTTCACAGCGTCTTGCCTCAAAATTCCTATTCCTCCTTTCGCCTGCGCCAGAAATGATTGATAGTATTGAATTGCCAGTAGGCCTGCTGATCTTACCTACAGTCGACCATCTGTTTTGAACAGCCTTATCTTGCCAACAATCTTTTCATATGTATGAATTCCAATTATGTTCTTCCACACTTGGAAATTAGCAGGAGACGAGCAGGAGGCAAGCCTACGCTTGCATACTCTCTACTCTTTGCTCTAGGATCCTCGGCCAATCTCGGATACAATGAATTTCGCTGCATAAATGGCACGGATGAATAGGTTTTTACCTTTTCTGCCAAATTGGCCCTATGAAACGGAGTGCAACCGATTGATGCTACTTGCCCAACATGTACCACATGGTGTTAAGGTTATCAGCTGTAATTTATTTGGTGTTTATTCGATGCTGGTATGCTTTATTAACTATCTGGAATAAGAAGTTTATTCAATCTAGGTCGCGTATGATGAGTTAAGGATAGATGAGTGTAAGTGTGAATTCCAGGATGTCATGACCTCTATATTAACGACAGCTATCTTTTACTTTATACTGCTTGACTGGCCGCACTTTTCTGACTTGATCGTGTTGTCAGATCGACTACGAATGACATACAATGCCTTGCAGTCATATATATATGATTTATAGGTAGTATCTAAAACGTACTTACAAATGAAAAATAAGTAATGCAGTCGATTGCCATGGCAAATATATCTCTTTGCTTCTTCGGCAATCCCACCACAGAATGTGATATGAGAAAATGCATGACCTTTCTTGAAATTCACACCTGCCCTATGCTTCAAGGCTACTTTTGGCAGTGTGGCGTGTTGGTTAACGTGTCGAGATCATACGCTGCACTGTCACAAACAGGGTTCGAGTCCCTTTGAGGGCAGGATCGAAACAGAGGTATACTCCAACCTGAGTGGGAATAGCTTAAGTGGAGGGAGGCCGTGTAAAATTAAATGGAAACGTGGCGTTTAGTAGTAGGATTATGGGAAAGTTCAACTGCCAGTCCTTCATCACCTCAAACGAAATAGAGTAAGCACATCTCATAAAAGAGTTTCAGCCATTTATGTGTCATACGTGAAAGTTAATGAAAACTTAATTTGTGAGAAAATTCACCTTCAAGTCTCTCTTTACCTTCTGCGACCTGAGGAGATTCAATTGTCACGATTTATTTTGAATTTGAAAATGCTTCAAAAATATCATAAACATTTTAATCACCTATTTTTTTTCTCTGTATTTTCTGTATAGAATGCATTTCTGCCTATGGTTGTCGTCGGTTGTTCGACCCCCGATTGACAGGCGTCAGTTTTCCACAGCGTCCCGAGTTGTTGGTGCTTTTCTGTTCGAGTCTGCCGCTCGTCTTCACAACTCTGTCGCGGCCACTCTTCCACGACATGGTATTGGTACACCGGCAATTCATCATCGGCTGGGGCCTGGCGCAGACGCGTCTCTTCTTCGACCTGTTCACACGCACCGCTTCGCTGTACCACATGGTCTACTGGGCCTACAGAGTGCCGATCATCCGCACCCTCTGGACCTGGTACTGCCAGCTGAAGGCGCATCGGGCGGCGATGCGGTCGCGACCGCCGCTCTGGCGCGTCCTCTTGCGCAAGTCCATCCTGCGCCTCTTCGACTCCGGCACCGGATCCGGGGCTCGACGCACGCCCGCCGGTCGACACAGCCGAGCCGGTCCGAGACGCCGGCAAGCCGGCGGCCACAGGCCCGGCCACCAGCGGGCTCGGTTCGACAATGGCGCCGTGTCCGCAGCCGGCAGACTCGGCGTCGGATCGGCCGGCGAGGCTGGCGGGGACTCGAACGACCGGCGACTGACGGAGGACTTGTGTGGCGGCGGCGGCGGTGACGAGGCGCGGATGTTCGGCCAGTTGGACGGCTACATCTGGCCGCAGCGTCTGGGCACCGGTAACACGGTACAGGTGGGCGCCAACGGGGTGATCATGGTACAGCAGTCGCTGATGCTGGCCAACGGCCAGCTGCCCGGCATGCTGATGGTTGGCGACGGCGGCGGCAACGGCGGCAGAGGCCTTCAGCCGCACACGCGGCCGTCGCCGTCGCCGACGCCGTTGTCGCCGTCGTCGCCGCAGGAGGGTCAGCCGAACAAGCCACAGTCGGCAGAAGAGTCGGCGGCCGGTCTGGAGCCAAGTCGCGAGTTTAGCCTCGTCTGCAAGCGTCTTCTGCCCAGCTGTATCTACGCGCTGGCCTTTCTGTTCGCTCTGCCGGCGGCGTTCGCATTCGAGCCCTTCAAGGACTCGCGATTTCCTTTCCGGTTGGCAAGGTGCACCATAATTGTGCGTGTCTACTACTACTACGACCTGCTGCTGCTGATCGCGCTGCCGACGATCGCGATGATCGCCGGCTTCTACCACGCCGCTCTGAGCAAAGTACAACTTGACGGTGGCGTCAAGATGCCCTACCGACT